AAATAAATTTAAATATTAAACATATAATTTATAAATAATAACCAACGTTGAAATGAAATGAAATCCACATGCTTTGTTTTTATTAAAATATTTCGTTGGATTTTGATTTTTTTTTTTTNTTAATTGTACTTATCGTTAAAAAAAGAATTAATTAAAAAATGAACATGGATTAGGCGGAAGGGGAGGGTTGGGAATTGAGATCCCTTTCACGATTGGTGGGCAGTGCCAGGTGGAGCCTCGTTAGTGGGTCCCACTCCCGCACATGACGTCCACGTACGAATTCGAAGTTTGACCCAAAGTCCACTTCGGATTTGACGTCAAAATATCTATTTAAATAATAAATACTATTTTAACCTCTATATTTTTTGGTTACATGCTCTCAAAATGATTATTTTATGTTATGTATTTTCAGCTTTTATTTATTTTTGTTGTTGTACAAATATCCTAATGATTTATGTACTTTAAAAAAGTTTAATACAAAATTTATACACAAGAAAAACTCTTCAAATTATTAATATATTTCAAGATATTTAATGAGCGAAGTGTCGTATTAAAATTATAATTTAATAAATGAGACAAGAATGAAAATGAATGGATCAAAATAATCTTTAAGTATGTGAATTAAAATGGATATTAAAAAAACATAAAGTAAATGAACAAAAGTCGAAAGAACATGAAAAAAAAACAGACGTTTTAAAAATATGTAGATCAAATTAACCCAAGTGAAAATTACATGATTAATATTGTAATTAAATCAAGAATATTTATTATTATTATTTTTTGTTTATTGGGTCTCTGGTTTATTGTATTTGATAAATTAGGATGAGACTTTTCAATTTTAAAAGTTATGTTTTTTTCAATTATTTTTATTAATAATTACGAGCTCGTTGTTTTCAACGATCTACCCGTTTACGAGCATTGCGACGGTTAGAATTTAGACGGTTAAAATTACATTATGATTGTTTATTTATTTATTTAAGATGGAAAATTAATTGAGAGGAAAAGTCTAATCTTCTCTCCCTGTGTTACAAATTATACATGTACTTAAAAATATCTTATATTAGTTTATTTTAAATTTCACAAAATAAATTTTAATTGATTGCAGGTGATTGTATAAGTTTACTATTTATGTCAAATTTTATAAAATTTTAAACTAATCCTGTATATATAAATATATATTCGTTTTGTGCTCTTTTATCATTCTCTAAAAATATATTTTTATAATTTTCTGTAAAAGGTGGAATTCCTTCCCAAAAAAGACGCGCAATCTCTAAATAAATTAAGTAAATTCAATTTAATACTAATTTAGATTAAGTTCTAACTTAAATTTAAGGATATACGACATATAAAATTTTATTTTGTAAGACACAAATTAGTTGATCCAAAATTATTTTGAGTTATATTCCAATGTGTCATCTCTGTTGGAAGAATAAAACACATAACTTACATGTTGATTTAAGAGAGTTTAAACAAAAATAATCAGAAACGTACCTGAATCCATAAAGAAAGCAAATTTATGGGATTTGATCTTCCAAATTAAGATAACTCACGATTGGAATTATTAAGTTTTTTTTTTTTCAATTCTATTATCCATTAAATAGAAGAAGTAGAGAGTCGTTTCTCTCTGAAGGGATGTAGAGGGACCATAATCCTTATATAACCGACATGGTGGTGATCGGTTACAATGTTATTTCTAATTTGACCCCTCATCAAATTAGAAATTAATGATGGTACCTATATATTTTATCCATGATCAATTTATAATTATAACTTTCACATAATTTTAGATCATTTCTCTTCGTCTAATTAAATGGCGAAAAAAAAAACACTTTGATTTCTAGATAACCATGGAAGAGATAAAAAGAGGTTTAGGGGATGGTGGAAGAGACAATAACGAAATCATAACATTTCCTAATCAAATCACTAATACGACAAAAATCACCGAATCAAAACAAGGGAAAAAGCTAGCAGCCAAACTAAAATGTTTTATTTTTATTTATGTTCTGAGAAATTAGATTTCCACCCACGACAACATAATCAAATATATATAATCAAATCCAAATTCAATCCGAATTTCAAATTTCCAATTTTGAAATAGTGTTAGTTTCCAAAAATCTACTTTTGTCTTATAAATTTGACAATAACTGTAAAAGGGTTTTTTTTTTTCTTTTGTTGAAAAAAACAAATAAATAATCTCACTGAGAAGATCATTGTCTAAACGAGATCAACTAAATTAATTTTTAAAAACTAAAATTTAATTATTTTAGAACAGGAAAAAATATAGTGACAACTATGATGTTTTTCTATTGAATTCAAATCAACATTATTGTATATATTAACAAGTTGGCAATGTCAAAAATGTTACTTGCAAGTATGAAAAGCTTGATTATATTTAATTTAATTTGACTTAGTTTTCTTCTTTTACCTTGTTTTTGTTTTTGTTTTTGGTTCCTCCAATTAATTATCAAATAATAATAATCCAGTCAAAGTCCACGCCCTCCCAAACTTATCCACCCAATTTACCTTTTTATTTATTTATTTTCTCAAAATAAAAAATTAATTTAATGCCTCTTTTTTTCTAGAGTTTTCCGTGGTATGGAATGGATAAAGTATATGTTCGTACAAGCCTAACCTAGTATTATTAAACTATAGCTTACTTGTCAACCTTATCTTCCCATATTAGTATTTGGTTTTAGTTTTTTAATATATATATATATATATATATATATATATATATATATATATATATATATATAAAGCCGTCGCAAAGGTATTTCAAGGAATCAAACATTAGTGTTACTTCGTATAGGTTCTAAAATTCAATTTAAAAACCGAATTTGTGTAGTACAAAATTGAATTGGGTGTAAAAGAATTGATTATAAATATTTGTACAATGGCCAAACATTTGGCTCGTGGGGTCTATAATTTGTAAAAGTTAGTATTATTTGAAAAGTGAATTTTGTAAACTTGTTATTGTATCGTCTTTGAAACATACGAACATATAAACTAAAAATGATATCGGTTTTTTATTTAATCCGGGTTGTACAAAACTTAACTCATAAGTCAAACGCCTTCTAAAAGGGTATATCAACTTAACATCTAACCTACTAGTATGAGCATAATTCAGCATTAAGCTATCTTTGTTTATTCTTTTTAGAGATTAGAAGTTCAATTTTCCATTTCACATTTGTTATGTTAAAAAAATACATTTAATATTCAACATTGGTTTAACTCTGCTTTTAATATTTGCCATAAAAGTGATTATTGGAGTTTAATATAAGTTTAGAAGATGGGTTTTTAAATTTTAGGAGCCATGACAATTGGTAACCATAGATCAAAAAAAAAAGAGAGAATATTTCAAAAGTTGAATTATGGATCAACACAAAAAATAAATACTAAAAATAGTAGAAACCAAAATTAGGAAAAGACCACAACTTATAAATTAATTAAATAAATGGTTTAACACATCATTATAAGTTCTCTAAAGCTGACATGGCCTTCTAAAAAATAAAATAGGGCTTTATGTATTTTTATATTTATGTTTGGATATGAGAAAAAAAATATATAAGGGATGAGGGAAATATATATATATCTAACCATTAATAGTAAATTTTAAAAATATTTATTTATTAATATATATATATATATATTTTTTTTTTGCAAATAAATGTGTATGAAACCACAGAAAAAAAAAGGTGCCGAGTTGAACTTCTTTTTCAAGTGTACTTTTTTTTTTCTTTAGTTCTTCCTTAGCTAACCCAATCAGTTTTCAAACATGGAAAGGAGCTAGTGATGGAGGATTTTCCCCAAATCCCTTTCTGGATTTATGTTTTAAAATAAATTAAGTCACATGTGTTCATTAGTTTATTTAATATTATATCATAAAATAAATTAGTGGACCAAAATTTCTCAAATTAACAAATTTTAGGTCAAAATTTTATATGTCTAAAGTCTTGTACTTCCCATGAATGACGAGAGTTAAAACATTCAAAGTGGCAAATAATTATAATTGTGGTAGTGAAACAAAATATATATATATATATATAAAAGTACAATAAGGAGGGTGGAGATTCGAATTCATAACATCTTCGTACTACCGCTGAACTAAATTCATATTAACAAAAAAAAAAAATATTTCTTTATAGAGTTTTAAACTTTCTAATTATTTTATGCAACTCTATAAATATCTAATAATGTCTATATCTTATTTAAAAATAATTTCGTTAAGTTGTTTAAAAAAAACTCCGTTAAGTAATAATCTTTTTTCCTTTTACTTTTATATTGTGCAAATTTCACCATGCAACTTCAATAAATCTGGAAGAAAAACAAATTTTGGCATAAAACACATGCTCCATTCCTAAGATCTTTTAGGTCTCTCATGAATGGTATATTCCCTTTTTGTTTTAGTTCCATCCTTACATATAGGAGATAAAACAATGGAATTTGAAGATGGTAATAAATATTTTATCTAATTAATATTTGAATTGGTAATGATACACTCAATTAAAGTCAGTAAATGCATAGTACAGTATCAAAGATTAAAAAGAGAAAAGTGGAAATAACTTATTTTAAAACGGATGTAAAATAAAATTTTAATTGAATAAAAAAGTTTGAAAGCTTAGCTTATATTTGATGAATAATATTAAGTAGCCTTGCGACCTTACCATCCTTAAAAGTTAATTCTTAAGAGAGAAAAAAATAAAACATTTTATTTAAAAAATAAATAGCCGTCAATTGAAGATTATCCATATTTATTTTCCTCAGGCTAACTTATTTAACAATTGAATAATTTGGAAAATAAATAAATTAAAAAAATATGGAAAATAAAGAAAAGGTTTTGGCCATGCTCAGTCGGCAACGGAGAACAATTCCAATATGAATTCTCCGTCACAACAAAAAAACGAATACGACCGACAATTTTAAATTCGTATCAAAAATTGCAATCCAAATCTCCAGTTTTTTCAATACAAAAGAAACCTCCAAAAAAAAAAAGAAAAAAGAAAATCATTTTATCTCGGAAGTCCCCATCTCCAAAAAATCTCTCTCTGCCTTTTTCTTTCTTTTTTTTTTTTCGATTTGAACTCTTTAAGTTTTGGCTGTAATCCCAAATCCCAAGTTCCTAATTTCTTAAACAGAGAGTCACTGTTCTTATTTCGGCTGCGCGTGTTCAAATTCTCACAATCCCAAATCCCCCATATATTACCCAAAACTTGTTGGCTCCTCCTTAAATTCCTCGAATCAAAATCAAAATCCTCTGTTTTGTTTTTCGCCCCATTTTCCAGTTACCCACTGCGGATTTTGTTGCATGTGCTCGTTCAAGGTGGCGAACCAAGCTGGCGGCGGTGATGGCGACGGCGGAGACGGCGGCGACCACCACAGATTACTGCACGGTCAAAATGATGACGACTATTATTCCGGCGGATCATATGTCGGAAAATTTGGAGAGGTTTCGGCTATGGTGTCGGCATTAACTGATGTTGTCTCCGGGCAGGGGGCCGCCGACTGGGGATACGGCGGCGGGCAGGGTTTTCCGGTGGGTTTTGTTTCGTCTTCGTCTTCGTCGTCCTCGGCATCGGCGTCGGCTTCGTCTCCTCTGTCTGCCTATTCTTCGAGCTCAGAAGCGAGCTATGTCTCAGCTCTGAGTTCTTGTTCTGGTTATTGGGCTGGCCAAAAACGAATGCGTGATCATGAAGAAATTGGCCAAACCCAATCTGATTTTGAATCCTTTTCCAGGGTTTATAGAGGTTTTGTTGATGATCATTTTGCTGAATCTCAAGGACAATCTTCCTCCGGAGGTTAGTTTTCTTAAAATGTCCTATAAATGATTAAATTTGTCGTAACTTTTTAATTTTTAGATTTAGCACTAATTTAGATTTAGTGTTAATTTAACACTGTATCAGTGTAGCAGATCTTGTTCTTCCCCATTCTGCCCCATAAGTACTAGATAAATAATTAAGTTTATGGTAATCTAAATTTTCATCAAAAAGATAAAATTGTCCAAATTTGTCGCAACTCATTTGTTTAAATTTTTAGATTTAGTACTAATTTAACATGATATCAGTGCTGCAAAGATTTTGTGGTTTCCTAATAGTTGATAAATGATTAAGTTTATGGTAATCTAAATTTTCATCAAAGGGGGATAAAATAGTCAAAATTATAAGATTTTCTCAATAATTTTTACGTCAAAAATTTCATATTGATGTAAAGAAAATTTAGAACCTAAAAAAATTTGAATCTTCAAAAATTTGGAACCGTGGTTGTGTTGAGCAATGGAACAGTGTGAGAGAAATTTCGGTGTTTTTAGAGAGATTTTTTGGTTTTTTATTTTGTTTAAAAATTTCGGTGTTTTTTTTTTTAAATTTAACATTGTTTGTTATTTTCATTTTCAATAGTGAAAGAAGAAGTTCAAATGCCGTACACGGCGGCTTCAATTCCAGCCGCCGCCGCCGTTGTGGCGTCGCCGATGAGCTCAAACGAAGCGAATTTAGCTGCCGGTGAGAGAAGACGGAGATACAGAGGGGTGAGGCAGCGGCCGTGGGGGAAATGGGCGGCGGAGATTCGCGATCCCCACAAGGCGGCGAGAGTGTGGCTCGGCACTTTCGACACGGCGGAAGCCGCCGCCAGAGCCTACGACGAAGCCGCCCTCAGATTCAGAGGAAACAGAGCAAAACTTAATTTCCCTGAAAATGTCAGATTAATTCCTCCCCAACACCACATTCCGGCCACCGCCTCCTCCGTTTTTCCCGGCTCCTCCGCCTCCCATTTTGCTCCGCCGCTGCCGCCGCCGTCGTTTCAGCCCCAGTTGTCCCCGTTTCAAACCCAACATTTCAGGGATTACCTTGAATATTCCAATTTGATTCAAAGCTCCGGAGAAGTCCTTGGACAGCCTTCGAGTTTACTACAGCAAATGTTTTATAATGCGCAGTTGGCTCCATTTCAATCGCCACAGCTAGCGCCGTCGCCGTCGCCGTCGCCGTCGCCCTCAGTTTCGAATTCTGTTTTTTTGGCTCCGCCGCATCAGCAGCAGCAAATGGGGTTTTTCCGGCCGCCGCAAAATCAAAGCCAGGGCGACTCCGATTACTTTCCGGCTATTTCGTGGAAGGATTCCGGCGGACAGGATCCTCCTTCGTCGTCCGGTTGATCATACAATTTTTTCCCCTTTTCATAAGTAAAAATCTAAAAACGAAAAAAACATTTTAATTTTTTTATTCCCAAGAGTTAATCCATTTTTTATTTTTTAGATAATCGATTTTTGTTTTCTTTATATTCCGAGTCTTGCATGTATTTTTTCTCACTTGTCCTATAAATTGAACACTTCTTCCCTCCAAGATAAAGCATTTCATTTTTTGCATTCCATTATATGAATTATTGGAGCATCGTATGCATTTAATATTTACTTTTTAAAAAACAATTCAAACGAAATAATGTTGATTTATTTCGTTGTTTTTTAATCAAATTTTATGTCGTCGTCGTATATGTATGTTTCGATTTTGTTTGGGTTTTAGTGATTTTAGATTTGGTTTTTAGTTATTAAATCGCCATGATTAGTGAGATTTGGTTGTTAATGGATATGACTACTCTCTATCTTTTCTATTTTCTATTGAAGACTAATTAGTTAGTTCAAATAGCAAAGATAAATGGTGGAGATGAAATTGACGAATTCACGTGGAATCAGACTCAACGTGACAAAATGAGGCTGCTACGTGGGTATGAGACATCAGAGAAATTGCAAGCTCGTTTCTCTCTATTTCTTTTGTACATGTTTGTAGATGATCCAATAAGACTACGCTCATCTTCTTGTAAGGGAGTAACTTTTTTATTTTCTTCTTTAGCTTGTCAAAAGAATGGAGTATGATTTCTCATCCTCTATAATCCAAGTAGTTGTTTCATAAGTTGATTATCAAAATAAAGAGAGACAGATGAATTACATTCATTATTGTTAATTTTAAACTATGGTAAGAGTAAAAATATTTAATAGTTGAAGAACCGCATATACAAATTGAAAATATAAAGAAAAGTATCAATGTTAATTAGACAACTAATTCTAATTATTTGGCTTTTTTTTTGTCATACCTAATTATTTTGTCAAAATATTTATTAACATTCTAGACTTTGAATTTGTAATTTCTTTTCATCAATGAGCATAAAATAAATACTATCTCTAAATTTGAAGTCAAAAAATCTAAAGAATAGGATGTTGGCTCTCTTTTGACTCAATCAGCGAATTAACTACTTCGTCATTTACTTTTGATATTGTCTTTTTTAAAATTCCATTCAAAGAAGGGAAAAGAGAAATATTCTAAAATTATAAAAATTAGGCATGGACATATTTTTTTTTTGTATAAATATCTATTCTTAATAAGTAGCCATTCTAATTTAATTTATTCAACCAAAAAATCTCTTGATATAATATTTTAAAATAAACATTGAAAGAATAAAATGATATTTAAATACTAGTTCATTAAATGTAAAAGAGGAGGGAGACGTTTCAAGCTTGGCATCAAAATGAGTTGGCTTTCTTTTTCTTGATAAATGATTATATTTTAATTATGATAATTGACTTGTAATCTTGAAGCGCGTGACTTAGATGGATTTCCATTTATGAGGTAATTATTAAACAAATGATTGTACATGTGGCATTAAATATTGATATGGTTGGGTTATACTTCTACCAAATTAAATTAATCAATAAATCTTTTTTTATTTTTAAGAAAATCAATAAATCAATCACTTACTTTTGTCAATTTTAATGGCTTCGACATAGCTACAATTAATTCAGAGTTGATTCTGTTGATAACAAACGATTGAGTTGAATTTTTTTTTTGAATGATCGATACAAATCGCTATAATTTTCACTATAAATGTTTCTATCTTTTCTTTGTTATAAATCGACAAATTGGTCGATATCAACTATTGTCAAAAATCGAGCCAAACCGACTTACTCTTTAACATATACGAGAAAGAAAAAATTTAAAAGAGTTACATTTAGAAAGGGAATAAGAGAATTTGTCTTTAGAAAAAAAGGAAGGAGAGAGCCAAAAAAAATGAAAATATAATAATAATAAAATAAAGGTGGCATCTTCAAATCCGCTTCTGGTCCCAACATGTGTACACGTGTCGCTATCCCATTAGAAAATGTGAGACACACGTTCCTACACATTAAACACGTGGACAAAATTGCTGTATCTAATAAATAATCATAATTTAAATACAAACTAAATAATTTGAATAATTAGATTCCCGCCTTACCGGCTTAATAACTCTACTTTTTTGCCGAAAATTAATTTAATGTCGAATAAAATACATAATAACTATTTATAGAACTCGAAACATTATATTAAAAAGTCAAAATTTTATATAAAAGAATTACTAGTGATTTTACTTTAGTAACCCTTGATTCAAGTTTACGTCATGAACATTTGAACAAACCTTACTTTGTTCGTTTCTCTTTCCTTGGCTTCTTTTGAGAAGAAAATAGAAATAAAATAATTTAAACAACGTTGCTTTTCTTTTTCTTCTTTCCTGCTTTTATGACGTCACTACAGGACACGTGCAAAAAATCCCAAGTGACGGGTCAAAGGTGATTTTCAACGGAGTGGGTTCCACCTCAGCGTGGAGCGTGGGGAAATGAATACGGCAGTGACGTGTCCCTCTCTTGACTCTCAAATTCCGACACGTGCGTAATTATATGGGGATCTGATATTCGCCGGGCACACGTGTCCCTCCCGAATATTTTGGGTCGGTCGGGTTTTCGGAGCTGGGCCGATTGGTCGCTTACCTACCGCATATTATCGGGTACAGTGACAACCCGTAAAGGAGGATACGGGTCTTTTTCCAGTTGGACCTGTCAACCAATAACTAGCTGCCACGTCAGAATGAGTCAGCTTTGACTGTTTTGGGACCCACCAGTGAAGAGTCCCGTTAGATCACGGTTGGTGGAGTTTTTTATATATATTATTAAAATTTTGGAAGAAGGTTGGCGAAGAAATCTTGAATTTTGTCGCTCAAAATTTTCACTGAGATTATATAAAGAATGATCTAGATGGATTTTTATTTTATTTTTGCTTGATTGTTATATTATATAAACATTTCCGTTTGGTGTTATTAAAATAAGAATAAAGAGATATGTTTTTATTTTATTCCCTTAAAGCTTGTTTGATATATAGTTAAGTGATCGAGCAATCTTCCGTACGGAAAGTTAGGTGATATTTGTCGAAGTAAAAATGCATTGGTAGGAGAGCATTTCACTTTAGAGAGAAGCACTCGTGCAAATAGTAGTCGATGAATTGGGAACTTAAGGCTCGGTTGGTAATGTTCATGTTTCTTGTTTTAGTTTTCAATTTTTTTAAAGAAATATAAGCATTTTACAACTAACTATATTCATTGTTTCTCATTTTTTCGAAATATTCTCAAAATATTCTCAAAATCGTTTACAAATTTTGGAAACAACAAAAACAAATTTTCTTTCTTGTTTCTATTTTTCATTTGTTCCAAAACATAAATAAAAATATTGTTTGACCATCATTTTTCTTTATTGAAAATGAGAACACTTATTTATTTATTTATTTTTTTTTGCTGCATGTTTAAAATGAGTCGAATACAAAATCTAGGTTAGGTTGAGAAGTGGAGTGATGTTTTATTCAAATTAATTGCAAAAAATGGTAAGTTTTTTGAAGCTACATTTATAGCTTATGTTTTTCCATGATTGTTCCTTAATTAAACAACATGCTTTTAGAGAAGTGGTTCGATTGAGCTACCTAACTTTTGCAAGTCGTTAATAGTTAGATATCTTTCATGTCACAGTGCAAATCTATTTAGGTCTCTTTCCTCTATAAAACTATCATATAATGGACTTGTAAAGCGCCATAAAACTATAGAAATTTTTACGAGGCTTATAATTTTACACATTAGATATGAGAGAAAAATTATAAACGACTATTATATTATATATAAATTTTGAATTTACATCAAATGGTTATAAGGAGCAAGCAACAATGTGGCGGGCACACGTAATAATCTTCCGATCTTATAGTATTATTACTTTACATCTCTTCCTCTCTAAAAATTATTTGTTGTCATAGTGATATAATTTTGATAGGGGCTGAAGTATGGTAGAAGTCTCTATCTTTTGCAGCCTTTATATGTTGGGGCAGTGGCTAGCTTCTATTTTTTAGTACAAGCTACAAAGAATGGGGACAGGAGAAGAAGAAAGAACATGAAAGTCGAGCAGAATTTTGATGTGAAATCTTGTTATGTTAGTAAGGCAAATGTCACTTCCAACATTTGGAGAAATTTAGGTAAATTTGATTGACATGTTAGGTGTACCGTACAATAAATATACTTCAAAAACATCCACCTGAATCGTGAACATAGCTCAGGTTAAAACATATATCTCTTATATTTTATGTTTTCTGTTTTTTTCTAAAACACAGATAAGAACATTATTCTATCATTTTAACGCATAAAGTGCATAATAAATTATATATAACATAAAAAAAATTTATATTTACTTTTCATGGAAAATTTTTATCTTTTTGAATTTAAAATTTGAGAATAATAAATAAGAAATGCTACCAAACATGTTTCTATTTTTTTTCTATAAAAATGAAACAAAGAGCAGTTACCAAACAAAATTCCATTTATTGAGCCAAAGCGAAGCTCAGCGGTAATTGACATATACCTCCAACTAATAGGTTGTGAGTTCGAATCCTCCCCCAACATGTTGTACTAAAAAAGAAAATCCATTTTTTGATTGAAAAATGATGAAATGAGAAACAATAAACATAAATGTTACCAAATAGGCCTAAAAGATAAATATCTCACTTCTAATAATAAATGAATTATATATAACCAGAATTACATTATTTTCCTACATGAATAAACATAACTTTGTTTTATATATATCAAAATGAAACTTTTTTTTTCTTGAAAAACATAAAACAAATTTGATGTATCAAAGAACAAGAAGACCAACCTTACAAATCAAAGGAGCAAGAGAGCAATGAAAGAAAAAAGAAAGATGAGGTTGGAAAATATTCTTTGTTTGAAATTGAGAAGTGACCTAAACCAAACTTAGGATCAGATAGGGATTGAAAGTAAGATGTCTACAAATAATTAAAATTACTTTTTTTTTTTAAAAAAAAAGGTAGGGTTTCTAAACCTAATTTCCTTTTAAAAAAAAAAGGTAGGGTTTCTAAACCTAATTTCCTTTAAAAATGGATGGCCTAAATAGGAATAAAAGTTAAATTTTATTTTGAATTATGATCCCTTCTTTAGAATCACCATCAATTTGTGCCTCTTATTGAGGCAGTCCATCATCAGTGTTGTGACCCTTTCCAAACCACCAACCCTACTCTATTATACATATAAAATAATAATAATAATAAAGTTCAAATTCTATTTTAGTCCTTTATTTTATTTTAATTTTAATACTTAAAAAATTCTTGGTCATTAAGTTTCTGAGAACTAACTAATAAAAAGTTAAGGCACCATTTTTTTGTTTTTTTTTTGGGTTAATTTGCATTAGTGCTTGGTAGACATTTGAAGTTGCATGGGGTGGTCTTAGTGTCAAGTTTTTAATAGTGAAAGAGAGAGAAAGTGGCAACAAGGACAACTAATTTTTGTGCCAAAAAAATAAAAAGAAGCAAAATTTTTCAAAACTTGAGTAGAAAACACAAGATTTAAAATATATAATAGAGACTAAAGTAGAATTTAAGTGTTCATAATCCTTTTATTTTTAGTTTTAAGTTTTTTAAAATTATCATTGTTTGGTTACAATTTTTTTTTTTTTAATGTTTTTAACCTTCTTAAAATTACTTTTAAACTTTTATCCAAAATTCAAAAACAAAAACAGAATTTTCAGTTTTCAAAAAGCATATGCAAATTAAAATAGTGTTTACAAGTTTTTTTTTTGGAAGTTTAATTTTAAAAAACAGAGAACCAAGAGCAAAATGATTATTAAAACCTAAAGTTTTCATTTTGTATAAGAAAAAATCGCTTTTAATAACAATATTTTCTAATGTTACACTTCTTCCCTATAAGCAAAAATTAAAAAAAAAAACACCAAATATTTCCAAAGACACTATTAAAATGGATCAACCCATTTTAGAAGCAATGATTTTGGTACAATAACAATATAACAAAACTCTGTTTAAATATGTTTGATGTTATAACAAAATATAAATTACAACAGCATGAAAACTTGGTAAGTTGTGATTCATATTCTATAGTTCAATGGGCTCTACAGTTCAAAAGTACACATTTTGAATTGGCAAACATCTACAGTTATGAATATTTCCACTTTCAATATTTAAAGGCCCATCTAGATGGCTAACTTTGATCTAGATTTGATCAATATGGCTCTCTCTCAATCCTGACCATCCAATCCATTCAACTGATACAGCAGAGAGTTCAAACTTCAAAGGGGCATTAACAATTAGATCTTTTGAAGTCCCAGCTTCAGGTAGTGACTAATTACACAAAGAATAAACCGCACACAAAATAATTCAGTTCACAGAGAATGTTGCACAAATATCAACATCAGAGAGGAGAATGAAAGTAGAATTAGATTTTTGCAGAAATTTCTTCTTCCTCCAACAATTTTATAAGCAGCACGCCCTATAACTTTTCAAAATAGAATAACCAGCATTACCACAAAATGTAAGAGTATAACTTTATACCTAGAGTGTAGAAGCTCCGTTCCTCGAACTGATTTTCTACACCCTCCATCCATCGTTAGAATATCCGTAGTTTGTATTTGGAATGCTGATATGATATACCCCATCACTGTCGAGTTTCTTTTGAAGTGATGTAAGCTCTGCTTTCGGTAACGTTGGCATTAGCAAGAACCTCGGAAGCGATGTCCCAGCTTCCACTTCTACGACCCCAACTTGAGTGTCGAGCTTCTGATCTAATGGTGGGCGCTCGATGATCAGAACCCAAACTAGAGTTAGCCTCTGAGACATTAAGCTGAGGACCAGTGCTCCCTCTACTGCGTATGTCCTCGTTAATGTCTTCGATATCACGACGCTGGGAAATCTTCAGTAGGTCTTCACCAATATCTAGATCATCTTCAACCTTTGAACGTGGATCCCCGTCCAAATCATCATGTTCGGTTGCACCCATTGGAGGCAGAGGGGGAGGAGCTGGAGGAACTGGTACCTCCTCTTGTACCAAGGCTCGAAAGTTGTTCTTTGAGGGCTTTACTTTTGAGCAAAATACTTCCAGAAAATTATTCAGACAACCTTGATTGTAGACGCTAGACCTGCTGTCAGCTCGGTACCGGAAATTTTCATAGGTTGTCTGGAAAAATGTAACGATCCAAATCTGGTTAATACCATTTAAACGCACACATACACGAATTATGATGTTGAGTACCCAAAATAGGCTAAGTTCAGAAAAAAAATTTCTACACTTAAATTTGAAGCTCTAACAACTCAGAGACCTGACATGTATTAAATGAAGTTGGATATTAACAAAATCAGAACTTAACCAACCTGGTTTGTGCCTATAAGGTACAAATGGAAGCCAGTGAGCCCACCAACAAACCACAGAGAGATGAAACAATAACCCATTAGTATAACTGAGGCAGGGGATTCCTTCATTGCCTTCCAGACTGTGCCCTTATTTTCCTCCATCAGAACTTTAATGTAAAAAGCTGATATCGCAAATACGTAGATGCAAAGAAGAGTTGAAGACGACACGAACATAAAGAAGAAGCGATAATTACGCTGCACAAGCACAAAGGGTGATTGGGTTGGTATTAAGATGCAGAATAATATCAACAGAAGTCAAGAATAATATAACTAAGACAGTGTAGAACTTAAAAGACCATAGAGTAATTGAGATGGAGTTTAAAAGCATACAAGACCAATGCATTGGCCAACCCATGGGCAATGGTGATCAAATCTTTCGACGCAATTGTTGCAAATAGAGCAGTGGGAGCAACGAGGAGGACGGTAGAGCATACATGTGTCGCAGTACTTCACCCTCACAGCTACACCATTGACAGTAACTTCTTTTATTCGAGGAAATTGGAGGCTTGGTGTTTGCCTTCCCCCAGGATCAACTGATAAAGAAGACTCATAACGAAATTCATCTTCTGGGGGGTGTGTATTCCGTGGAACTATACCCGGGTCCCGAGAAGAAGTGAGAAAAAGCAGCACCAATATCTATGGCAACCAACCAAGAGACCACATTATACCAAATCTTCGGTATATTGTTTTTCTTTTCAAACAAAAGTGCATTGGAAAATTCATATTTAATTAGAAAGACATATTTGGTGTCGAAATTAAAATTGATAATTATAATATTGGCATGGCAACATTGTCAAATACTGGTAAACATACCACAAGAATGCAAAATTACGCAGTGGAAATCCACAGTAGCATCAAGTTTAACTATATGGTACTAGAGAATTATCTCATTGAAATTTATATTTAACCATTGGTACCGCAACTCCAGCTGAAAGACTTGGATCCAAGACATTTCCCTATGTTATGCCAAGATGTGCTAACAGGACCAGATTGGTGGAGCTTCAATTCTACGTAAGATGATGCGACACAAGCTATGTAATTCAAAGAAATTTCTCTTCTAAATGATTAGGTTTCAATCATAAAACTACGAAACAGTCGACCAGATAATTTATTTTCTGCTTTCTCAAGCTTTTTTTTTTTTTAAATAAGATAGCTCTAGGAGGCTATAATAAATTGGACGGATGTTTAATATTGATGTTTAATATTACAGAACGAAAACTATTTTCTCTATCCTTTTACTTTGATCTCTGTAGCTTCCCTCTACTTCCTCACTCCCTTCCCCTCTTCATATGCATTCCTCATATATTTGAGCTCTCTGTTGACTATCCAAATTTAAATATATATATTTATAACATCTCTGCGATAAAACTTTCTCCATATTCTCTATGATCCATGTTGCCTGCTATTCTCAATAGCACATTTTATCATTTTCTTGACTAAAGATAATTTGATTGTTCCCTTCCTTATTAATAAAAAAGTGCACAAAACTAGGCATATGAGTTCTTGCTCTACATCATACCTATCCTCAACTCGATCTTCACTTGCATTGTTCCAACACATTAAGTGCCCTAAAGAACCTATATAATAAGAATCATGACCATATTCAAAGTTCAAACCAATATGTGATCAGCACTACAAACTCAAAATACCAGGTAGTGCCCTTAAGCATACAAACCCATAACATAAACATGGCACACAATCTGAAGAGACTTCGCATATTGTTTTACTTTAAATAAATGTCAAACACCAAACTGGACCAGAGGGAAAAGCCAGAGAATACTTACATAGATAGTAAACACGATAGCTACCACCAGAACAGCATATCCAGCATTATATGATTCAAATTCATGCAGAAGATTCCTTGCAACAAATGCACAAAAGATTATAACTGGAACAACAATCAATGATATGGTCACAATGACTGACCTAGCGTCAGGCCCAAATATTAGCCTTCCTCCAAGGATAAACTTCTGCAAAAGAGATGCCAAAAGCATTTTTAGAAAATGGATTAAAGAAACACGAGACTAGACAGAGGAAAAGTTTGTATAAGAAGCTTTGCATGGTTCATCTTAATCCAAATAAAGACAAGATTTCTTCCGTTGCTGATAATGTTACAGAACACTGTTATACTTGGAAAAACAACAATAAACCAACCAAATGAGTGTTTAATTCTATGAAAAAGGTTATAAATGAAATTAAATTGAGTGGAGAGAGGGGATCAGACAAGTGAACTAGAAATCCAAGCCCACATAAAACCATGAGGGAAACCTCCAAATATTGAGGAAAATAAATGATGCTGTTGAAATCTAAACTAACTAAGACCCATAGGTAGAAAAAGTGTACATCCGTCAATATCTTAGGTCAGATTCTAACTGCTCAAAATGATTCCTTCAATTCCAGGTCGACAATAGAAAAACTGAAATATAATGTATGGTCAGTAGTTCAGTACAAACATCGTTCCTACATCTCATTCAAGCAGTACTGCCAATATCAAATCCATTGAATGTAGAGGAGTTGGAGGATTTTTGTTGATGAGAAGTTATATAATTATTGACAATGATTTGTTTAAAATATGTGCTTAGAAAATATGGGGTAAGAGATAGTAGGTAAACTTATTCCAAATTCATTTGTCATTTGTGAATCTGGAATTATACTTTTTTTGGAACACAAAATGACTATTACTAAATTTAAATAGCCTAAAAATCTCCAAGTCATGAAGTAGTTTTACTACCGGACTGAAGCCCTAGATCCATCCAAGAAGTCAAAAACATGCACAATAGCAAAGCTATCCACTATTCCATCCAGGGCTGTCAAGGCACGATTATAAACACTGTTTGAAGCCCAAGATAGAATGACATTGAAGAGAAAATAGCACAAAAGGGATATATACGAGAACATGTCTACCTTAAATGTGACAGCTAAAGTATAAAGTTACATCTTTTCTCCTTGCTAAAATACTTTATGTTTTATCTTACCTCAACCCCGTGTCACATTTTCTTTACTCCTCTTTGACTCCTTAAAAGGCCTATTCTATTATTTCTACCGTGAATCTAATCTTGTTTCCATCATTACCACAGCGGATCTAAACAGCTCTTCCCCATGTTACCAGGAGTTATCCATGGTGATCTGTCTGTGAGGGAGATATTTACATTACACCTAGACCTAGTTTCATCGGCCTGGTTCCTTTATTTGTAAATGATAACCTATTTAATAGTTTTAAGTCTGAGGAGCACATAAAACCAACTCCATCAAATGGTTCAGAAGATTCTAAGTAAGCTCGATCGTTGTCAATAAAGAAGCCCACAAAAAGATATCCAGTCGATACTTGGAATATGCATACATGACTTTTTACTCATTTTGAAAATCCACCAAAAAGACGCTCATGATCTTGCTCGTTTTCACCCACAATTAGTCAAAAACATCTGTGCTTCAAAAACTATTTCCACGAGACCCCCAACACGAGGAAATCATCTCACAACGAGATGAGTGAACTGGGGCATATTATGACACTACTTAGATATTTGCAACGTGAACAGAAATATACATACACGTCCAAGCTATAAGGCATACACGAGAAGCAGCCCTCAGAAAACAACACCTTTGTGCTGAACTCTCTTTAAACCAATAACTTTAGACACCAAAATCATTCCACGTCATCTAGAATGTCTTTGGGCCCCACGTACACAGGATAAACTACTACCATATTTCGCCTGTCCATTCTCCCTACAGCCTATACAATAATGAATAAACTGTTGTTACGTTGTACCAGAAAATTGAAGGGGCTGTATGGTATTATGATTTAAAGAACTCTATTTGCTTGCAAGAAAGAAGATGAAGCTCTATAGTCAACTGAGCCATCGAGCTCGACAATTTCTATGCCAACAAGTAATAAACAAAACAAAAGAAGAACATAAAATTTCGAATTTATCCTCATTGCCTCCACTTAATAATCAACCCAACGGAAATACTGAGCTACCAACGCATGGAAACCTAATTGAACCCAAGTTACAAGCTTCACTATATAAAAAAAGCAAAAAGAGAGAAACGCATAGCACGAAAATTCCCTCCAAATTTCAAAAACCAGAGTGTACCCAGATGAGGAGAAAACACAAGAGCGCAATTGAATCGAAAAAAGAGCAGAGTAATAGGAAGCTCACGTTACTCCCTTTCCAAACTTGGTAGACGCGCTTCGCCATGGCGGGCCGAGTTCCCCCTCCAAGCTAAGCAGGAAGAGAGTCGTATATTTGGAACTTGTGGACGCTCATCTCGTCGGCATTAAGACCGACCGAGGTACAAAAGTCACAGGGACGTTTCACCCCGATGAGCCGACGGCGATTGTGGAGCTTGGTTTTGGGATTTTTCAGGGGTAATGGCGATTGCTGTTTCCAAATCCCGAGGGCTGCTGCAAGAACATGGGGAGCAGGATTTTCAGTGTCGC